TCTTTCTATTGACTCTTCTTTACCCAGTCCAGCAAGAGAAATGAGAAAAAATAAGATGAGAAACTTGAGAAGAGTTTTAGAAAGAACTAAATCAAATACAATAAAATATTTAGACTTTTTTTTTTCCTTTCTGGTAACTGGGAAGAGTGACCTAAGTACAGTGAATGACTGCAGTGAGGATAATGGCTCAAAGGAAATAAGGCTTTTTTTTTTTTTAAAGTAAGAAGATATAGTAAAGGAGAGTTTAATACTTAGTAATATATAAAATATAGCAGAGAAAACTGCTAATACATTTGTGTTAACCAAATTAAAGTTCTTGAAGGCATTAAGTATAATGGTACTATCAATATTATAAAAAATAGTGACTGCTTATTGAAATATTAAAATTACCTTCTTTATTTAAATTAAAATAAAAGATGCCATATGGTCAATTTTTCACACATTCATAAATAGCGCACAAATGGAAAGGAAATACAAATTTTTATTGACATTACAAATAATTTTTAATATGAGATTAAATAACTTTTTTTTTTTTTTTGCTGGTTCCCAATACCAAACATTTTTTATTCATACTCCATAGTTCTTTTTTTTTCTTTTTTTTAATTTAAATTTATTTATTTACATTCATTCACTGTACATCATTACAACATGCAAAATGAGATTTTCCATCCAGATTACACTGTATATTGGTTCAATCAAGCACATCAGCATACATGTTATCATCAACAAATAATTTTCCATTTCTTATTTCCTAATGTTTTTCTTTTTTTTTTTTTTTCCCTCGTCCTTGATTCCCTATCTCTTACCCTCTGCCATCTCCCACTCTCCTCCCACATTGTCTCTGGTATCTATGCTTGCTTTCTTTTATTTATTTATTTATTTATTAATTCACTTTACACCATCACAACACACAAATGAATTTGCCATCCAAAATACACTGTGCATTGTCTCAATCAAGTACATCCACATATATGTTCTCAGCAAATAATTTTCCAATTCTTACGTCCTGCATACCTTGCCCTTTG